AAAAAAAAAAAAAAAAAAAAAAAAAAGCTTCAACATAACATACGCTATAGAATAACTACTTTCTTGTCACAGTGGTAGTTATGGAGACCACATGGTCCCCAAAACCTACTGTATCTATCACCTAGCCCTTTACAGGAAAGTCTGCTGGCCCGATTTAAAAGAATGAAATAAGGTGTGAAGGGGTTGTGGGATGTAGCTCAGTGGAGAGTGCTTCGCTGGTGTGTACAAGGCTGTAAAATAAATGAATCAAAACAAAAAGATTTGGAGAATCAATCTACTGTGAATGGAAAGATGCCTCTCTGAAAGTGCTACAGCACAGAGCAGTGGTGGCAACCAGAAGACAACTGATGGTCTGAGTCCAAGCCGCAGCTCTGCTACTTAACAGCTGTAGAGAATATAATTTCCTCGCCTATAAAATGGGAATGGTGGGTTCTTGTGCTAAACACAGTAAATAAGTGCAAGGCACTAACTACCGTGACCAACATATCATGAGAACTTTATATAGGTTAGCTATTATTATTATTTTCTCTCTTCCACTGAGAGATAGCAAGCATCCTTCCCAGGGATATCTGAACAGAAACTGGTCTGAGAACTATAAGAGACAAGAAATAAAACTGTAATACTATGGGCTTTTCCAACATCTAACACAGACTACAGGACTGTAAGATTCTAATTAAAAAACAAAACACTATTAAGCCAGGCTTAGTGGAACATGCCTATAAAACCAGTAGTCAGGAAACCGAGGCAAGAGGATCACCACGAGTTCCAGGCCAGCCTGGGCTATGTAGTAAGTTCAAGCTCAGCCTGAACTACATAGCAAGACCTTGTATCAAAAAAAAAATAAATGAACACTACTAGGGAATTGAACCAAGGCCTTCATACTGCACCACATCCCCAGCCCTTTTTTAAAAAATTAATTAATTAATTTAACGTTTGTTTGTTTGTTTATTTATTTATTTATTTATTTATTTATTTATTTATTGCAGTACATAACACAATAGTTAATCCAAGAAAATTGGTACACCTTGGTTAAGATAGTTATTTAATGTTTGTAGTTGCTTGAATGTGGCCCTTTTTTTTTTTTTTTTTTTTTTGAGGTAGGCTCTTGTTAAGTCACTAAATTGCCTGAGTTGGATTTGAATTTGCAATCCCCCTGCCTCAGTCTCCCAGAGTTCTGGGATTACAGGCATATACCACCATATCCAGCTGAGATTCTAAAATTTTACAGTTAAAATGCAATGATTTTATGACTCAGTTAATAAGCTATCAATGCTGGTGACTTTCCTTTTTTCTCCTGGAGGATGTGCTCTGAAATTTTTACCGTGCCCAGGGAAGGCATACTAGTCCCTCTATGGCCACAAGGACAACCATCTTACAGAGTTGTCCCTCTGAAGAAAATCAAAAGGCTCCAAGAGACTGCATTAGATTTTGGTTTCCACATCTAAGAATAACCTTGTCTGAGAATGTTTCTTTCTCTTCATGTTATGAAATGAGACATGCACATTCAGAATATAAATCAGCAGCCAAAACACTCTCAGCAGAGAAAGAAATGCCACTGTAGAAGGCAGCCCTACTTGACTGTCTGACAGTTTGGGACAGGAGAAGCAGAACTGCAGAGATAGAGAGGACCTTGGAGTTCTCCAAGGCAACCGAAGTATTCTCTGATGAGAGAAGGAGTAGATGAGAAGAGAGGCTACTGGCAGGGGCACTTCCTCCAACCACAATGGTTCTCCAGGTTGCCATTTGTCCAAAGGATCTTACACGAGGCTGCAGAAGCTGCCAGGGGCCTCCACCCTGGGCTCCACTCCCTTCCTCTCTCTCAGGAATATCCTCATTTGTACTAGATAATTTCAAAGGAGCTTTCTGCAGCTGGCATTCGAAGTTTATGAATATCTCAACAGTAATTTTATGAGAACATCACTGTGGAGGACTTTCTACAATAGACCAAAGGTCCTGTCCATACCCTTGGGGAACACGGACAATTCCCCCAGGGCTATGGCCTGGGCAACCTTGGGTATCAGAAAAGTCAGGGCTTCACTACTGCGTGCATTGATGTAAAAGAAGCTGTTGGGTTTGGTTTTTTTCTTTTTCTTTTCAGACAGGGTCTTGATATATAGAGTTCAGGCTGGCTTTGACTGCACTATGCCTATTCTGGCCTTGAAATTGTGGCCATCATCCTGCCTCAGCCTCCCCAGCGCTGGATTACAGGCGTGCGCCACCACGCCCAGTGTCACTGGGCTTGTTTAAAAAGAACCCTCACGATTTTTACCCAAACAATCTTACTCTCAACTCACTGGAGGCATAACTACTCTAAAAGAATTCTATACCTGAAGATCACTTAGAACTTTGGAATGCTATGCTTTAAGCATATCAAAGGCTTGCATTCAACTCTCTCTTTCTGAGGAAGAACCCAGAGCCCAGGAGGGCAGTAATTTTCCCAACATTGAGCAGGAAATCAGTAAAAGCCAGTCCAGAGTTCAGGGTTTACTATGCCCTGGGCAGACCTCCTTCTAAGTTAAAAGTCTCTGCAGTCCAATCTTGGGCGTTTGGTTTATTGGTCTTTGTGTCCAGATTTCACTAAAGGCAATATCAGGACAGAAGAATGGAATTCGATACCTAAAAGTCCCAGTGCTGTATAAAAGAGGCTTTGTTTATGATATCTGTTTGTCTCAGGTCCCTACCCATACTTTTAGATCCATCAAATAGGCTAATAAAGAGAGTATATACATTAATAAGACAAAATCTTTGCAGCTCTCTCTTCAATCCTTCTTCACTGTCACAAGTCTTTTTGAGGTACAAAACCCTTAGCACCTTCAAAGGCTCACTTCACGGATGCCTTTTAGACTAATTGGTTTATTGACCATTAGATTTATATGCCTGGATAAAACAAAGCTTTATGTCTAAATCTTACCTTGACCCCTAATTCTCCTTGTTGGTAGTCAAACAAGAGAACCCTGAATAAGTAGGAGGGAGACCTAATTAAAAACAGGCTTAGCAAGTGTTGGTGAAATTGCACTGTATTTGCCCAAGTGCCCTAAATTTTATGTAGCACTAGAAGCAACAAAATCTGAATACTGGAAGGAGCCCTGTGAGCGTAAGTCCCAACTCCATTAAAAATAAAATCACAAAAAAGAGAGGGATACATTTTGGTCTTTCCAGGGACTGTGACAGCCTGTTTGGGAAGAGACTGGGATGTGGTTACCAGACATTTCTGTTTTGTTATTTCAGCACTAGGAATTGAGTCCAGGGCCTTGCACATGCTGAGCAAGTGCTCTACTACTGAGGTACATCTTCAGCCCTTTTAAAATTTTACTTTGAGACAAGGTTTCACTAAATTACCCAGGCTGGCCTCTAACTTGTGATCCTCCTGCCTCAGCCTCTCAAATAGCTAGGATTACATGTATGAGCCACTTGACTTGGTACTACTGGACATTTAATGGGACATCAAGAAGATTTTAACATAATAAAAAGTAAGACCTTCTGCTACTCAAAACTGCCTAATTACAAAAAGGGCTGCCTCTGAGGGAATGAACACCCTGTCCCTGGAGATGTGGTTCAAGGCTCAAAGGCCAGCTACTGGTCGGGACTGCAAAAGAGGAGGTCCCTGTGTGATAAGACATAAGTACACAGCTCCAAGGTGAAAGAATCAAGAGCCTAACAGCTACAGAAAACCTTAAAGATGACCTAGTCCAGGTCTCTCAATTTATAATTCAAAAGGTCCAAAGTATGGACATGAATTATCCAATGCTACACAGAACCCAAGTCTAGAATCTAACTCTCTGGGCTTTTCTGTACTAGACAATAGTCGCTGTGCCTTTTTATATATCTCTATCCATATGTACAGATGCCCAAGAGAATAGGTATATGTAAATTTCCATATATAGTCTTCATATATTCACTCATTTCTACTTGGAAAAACTCCCTAATGACTGTCATCTCTCTCCTATAGAGTAAAATCAACCTCATCAGGAAAGCCAGCAGTAGAATCTTAACCTAGGGACCATTATTTTCCAGTTCTGTTTACTAGTTGGGCAGTGCTGTGCAAACTACCTTTCTGAGTCTCAGCTTTCAACTGAGATGAAAATCTACCCAAATAACATTATAGAAGTATAGTGTTGAGTAAGTAGTAAAGTGATTATGAAAGCATTTGCCCTAAAAGGTGAACAGTGTTATATAAGCTGGACTTGACATCCAGGCACAGTAACAAAGAAGAAATGGCACTGGATATTTTTAACATGAGAAAAAATACAATGAATTTGTCTACTTACTTAGTAGACTGACTAATAATTCACTGTAACATCCTGCTGAGGGCTTGTCCAGGCCCTGCTGGCACAATTTGAAAGACAAGTGCTCACCACATCCAAAGTTAATCATTCCTCTACTGCACAGTTCCTACAAGGCACAAAGTTCTTCTTCCTCTTCCTCTTTTGGGATCAAACTCTGGACCTTGCCTTTGCGAGGCAGGCAGGGGCACCACTAAGCTAAATCTCCAGCCACAAAGTTCTTCTTTGTATGGAATTTAAATGACATTAAGTGATTTTTAAACACTGGTCTCATTTCCTCAGTGGAGCCACCTTGTTAAAAACCAGAGGTGACCAGGCCAGGCACATGGTGGTGTATACCTGCAATCCCAGCACTTGGGAAGCTGAGGCAGGAAGATGGCCATGAATTTGAGGCCAGCCTCGGCTACATAGTGAGTTTAAGGCCAGACTGAACAACATAGAGAGACTCTGCCTCAAACAAACAAACAAACAATCAGATATGACCAGATGCTATGTGCATGTCTGTAATCTTAGCTACTTCAGAGGCTGTGGCAGGAGGATTTTAAATTTGAAGCCAGCCTTAGTAACTTAGACCCTGTTTCAAAATTAAAACAAAACAAACAAAGCCAGGTGTGGTGGTGCACGCCTGTGATCCCAGCACTCGGGAGGCTGAGGCAAGAGGATTGCTGTGAGTTTGAGACCAGCCTGGGCCACATAGTGAGTCCCAGGTCAGTTTCAACTACATAGTGAGACCCTTTCTCCAAAAAAAAAGCAAAACAAAACAAGCAAAAAACTTTTTAGAGCTGGGACTGTAGCTCAGTGGTAAAGGGCTTGCCTAACATTTGTGAGCTCCTGGGTTCAATAATTTCTGGTACTGGAAAAAACAAATCAAACAAACAAAAAAACAGTTGTGAAGGTGATACCATTGGTTACCCTACTAAGGAGAAATAGGACTAATCTCACTGTCAAGCTGGTAGCCGTCCATGTATATAATCTCCTGTAGTGCAGTGTAGACTTTGGTAGTGTTTTGTTTTATTTTGTTTAAGATGGGGGCATTTTTGCTCCCCATGGGATATTTTGCCATGTTTTGAGACATCTTTAGTTGTCACAGTGACACTTGCCTAATGGCATCTAGTTGGTAGAGATCAGAGATGCTGCTCAACATTCTACAAGGCACAGGCCATTCCCCCACTACAAAGAATTATCTAGTCAACAGAGCTGAAATGCAGTAACAGTCTTTCCCTAATCAAAACTTCTTGGCGAGGTGAGTACTCCATTCTCCCTCCCTCATCAAAGAGGATGATCTTTCCTGAATAAGGAAGGCCAATTTTTTACCTGGGAATAAGAACCTCTTAAAACAGTATTTATATTATGTCATTAAAAAAAAAATCCCTTTCCTTTCTTCCTACAAAACAAACCAGTCCCAACTACGGGGAACAAGGAAAGGAAGACACAGGCTGTATTTACTGAAAGCCGCAGAGGATGCTTGGTAAGTTCGGTTCTCGGTCCCGGTGTCCACTGGGAGGTGGAAGGTGCCTTCAGTGCCACAGGAAGACGAGTTCTGTGGCCAGGCCTGTTTCATCAGCAGGGTGGCTTAAGGGAAGATACAAGAATGGCATTAGGCAGAAATAAGAAGTAGGCACCACCAATCATAGACACAAAGCAAGGGTCTTACGCTGGACAGAAACATATAACCCAAGGGACCTGTTCAGACACACAGAATGATTCAGCCTATCTAAGATGGGTTAGTAGGTTTGGAGGAGTGCTGAACTGAGTTCCCAAATGATTTTAAAACCAAGGAAATGTGCACTTACATTCAGAGAATCAGGATGTTCTACTTGCTACTGAAACTATGAAGATGGCTGTGAATATTGCCTCTTTCTGCTTAACCTTCTGCCTAAGACTCTGGAACATTCTTCAGCTACTTTTTTATTAACATGGAACAAACTGGGAGTCTTTGAGTGTGTAATGGGTCACATCAGCTAAGCCACTCCCCCCATCCTTATGGGGGGGTCTGACTATTGTGGGGGGGTTAATAAGTTGCTTTAAAATAAAACATTATTCTTTCAAATAGTTCCTATATTATACAAACCTTGCTATAATACCATCTCCTCTAAAGAGACTGACCTGGGCTATGGCAGTTTGAAAGGCCCAGGACACTGTAGCTGCACTCCTAGTTATCCAGCAGGCAGTCCTTACTAACTCCTTCTGCCCAACACCCGGCAGAGGCCAGATAGATGGGCCTCTTGCATACCCCTGAATGTCTCCTGCTGTAGTACTACTGGGTTCCCCACTTGAGATATGTCTTCATAAATTAGACATGATCCTTTGGGTAATTACAAAAGTAAATGTCAAACTTCAGGTAGAAATAAAATAGAGATGAGGTCCAGTCTGAGATCTATAGAGAGCTCCTAGGCAGATTCTGATTCAAAGCTTCGTTTGGGAAACTTGAAAGATGATACTTCATATGTTTTAGAAGGGGAAGCCATTCAAGAAACTTACCTTCAAGGTATCCTAAGGGGAAGGAGAGAGGAAATAGGGCTCTAAAGGGTAGAAATGTCTAACTTTTTACTATACTTCCAAACACATAGGAGAAACATTCTTGACCCAAATTTCTACTTCTGGTAAAAGAACAATTTTAGTAATATATTTTCTACTCAAAGAAGGTCTTAGGAGTCTCAGATATGGAATATTTTAGTTTATTTGCAGGGGGATGGGGTTAGGTGTTTCACTGGCAACAGTCAAATGTACCTGAAACATCTTAACAAGGGGCAGAGGTAAAACAGCACACAATAAGAAGAAAGCATGCCTATATACTCTCTAATTCAACTAGGATATTCTAGCTCTAGAGAGAATCCATAACCCCTGCTGCCTGCCAGGATAACAGTTAGAGTCTCTGTTCTTTCAATCACAGAAGTTCTAGGGCTAGAGACGGTCGAGGACTCTGCTGTTTCTGCTGAACCAAGGCTAGAAGTGCAGCTGTTACAGGCTGACTCTGTGCTTGCATTAATGGCCCACAATACATACAGCAGATGCTAAGGAATGAAAAGAAAATCATGGGCAGGAAAGTGACACTAAGGAGAACTGTGGCATGAGTAATGGAGGCCCAGAAGAACCCCATGTAGAGTGTAAGGCCTTTGCTGGATATCCAGACATGGCTGTGTAGACACGGTAGAAGGGGAGCCCATTTTTAAATAATCATCTTGAGTTTCTTTTCCAGCAGGCACAGTGCTCATATGAAGGGGACTGATAAAATATGCAATTAATGTTGAAAAATCTTATTAAGATCTCTTGTCTCCAAATTTAGAACCCAACACTCCATGTGGCTGGAAAGCTCCCTAAAAAGTTAAGCATGTGGCTCTGAGAAGTCAGACAGAGCAACCCCATGCCTGTATCACTGAGATTCCACCAGGGAGCAGGGGGACTTAATATAGTTGTTTGGAGAATTTAGAGGTTCTGATTCATTCTGGTCTTTTCTTCCAAGTGGCATATACTTTACTGTAAATTTCCTAAGCCAAAAGTCTGACATTAGCCTGAAGGACTGTATGACAATTGAAGTAAAGCAAAATCAGCCAAAGAGAGAGATTGAGGCCTAACTGTACTCAGCACTGAGGGGAGCGCCACAGTGGATGGAAATGCACATAGGTCACGGTCACTGCACACATGGTACTTACGGTCTAACTGGGGATGCAACACAGCCATACACCAACCAGGGAGTGAACAAGACAGCGTGATACAGCGTATAATAATGTTGCAGATTAACCAGGAAAGATGCAACTGTGACTGTGCCTTTGATTGTCTTTCCTAATTGATCACATAAGTTAAACTATGTATTATACTGAATAAAGGGGTAGTTCCTTTCAGTTTCAAAGAACAAACGGCATTTTCTATACCTTTTCTGTATATTTGAAAAATTAATAATTTAAATAATTAGAGAAACGTGAAAACTAAAACCAAATGTCAGCTGTCAACCTGAGCTCATTATCTAGCTCACCATATGATACTGTTCCTCCACGTACAATTCCGAAGTAACCCACCCCGTTGGAGGGGGTGATGAGAGCTCAGTTGTGGGACAGAGACACAACTAAAGCTTCTGGAGGCACAGTGATGGAAGAGGGTGCTCTGCCAGGCAGCCTGCTCTTGGGTGCCAGAAAAGAACCATTTCCTAACAATGCTTTACAGTTAAGTACTGGTATATCATATGTAAAAGTTATTAAGCTGTATATTTAAGACTAGTGTATACTGTGTACTTTAATATATATGTGTTATCCTTCAAGTAAAAAAGATAAAGCAAGAGAACCCCTGGTAGTGAAGGGCCACAGGCCCAGTCACAGCAGACTACCCACATTCAGGTGCTGGGTTGTTCACTTCCCTGGACATGGGACCCTCACACCCTCTGACACTCATACGATCTGTTAAGCACACTTACAAAGAGGAGAGGCAGCAAGGGACCATCATCCTGAACAACATACTGTGCCAGGAAATCTGAGATCTAGCCTGGGCTCTGCCACTTATTAGCTGTGGGGACCTTGGGCAAGTCACTTATTTTTTGTTTTCTTTTTCTTTTTTGGTACCAGGGATCAAACTCGGGTCCTTGTGCTTACGAGGCAGCTGGCAGAACCACTGAGCTAAATCCCTGGCCCAGTCACTTAATCTTTTTGTAAGATCAGTTTTGTTGTTGCATAAAACAACAATAATAGTTTTTATTTTGTACTACTGATATGAGAATCAAAAATAAAGTTTCAAAGCTGGGCATGGTGGTGCATGCCTGTAATCCCAGCACTCAGGAGGCTGAGGCAGGAGGATCACTGTGAGTTTGAGACCAGTCTGGGCTACACAGTGAGTTTTAGGTCAGTCTCAACTACGTAGTGAGACCCTGTCTCAAAAAATCAAAAAAATAAAAATAAAAAAAGTTTCAGCGGGTACACTGATGCATGCCTATAATTCCAGTTGCTTGGGTGGCTGAGGCAGGAGTTCACAAGTTCAAGGCCAGCCTGGGTAACTTAGTGAAACCTTTGTCTTGAATGAAGAAAGGAGGAGGAGAAGAAGAGAAGGAAGAGGAAGAGGAGGAATAAAGGCTGGAAGTGTGGCTTAGTGGTAGAGTGCCTGCCTAGCATATGTGAGATCCTGCATTCAATCCCCACTATCAATCAATTAATTATCATCAGTCTTATAGTTTCTATTTCTGGTTGTTGTCTACTCTTCCATTTCTACAGTTGTGGAGCACTCCAATTCAAGCTCTCAACCATCTTTCACCTGAGCTACTCCAACTGCTTCCTCATTGTTTTGTTTTTGGTGCTGGAGACTGAACCTGGGGCCTCTGCGCTGAGTTACATTTCCAGCTCTTTTTGCTTAATTTTTAAATTTTGAGACAGAGTTTTGCTACACTGCCCAGGCTGGGCACAAACTTGCAAATGAATCTCTTATCTCTGCCTCCCTGAGTGTAGTGATTGCAGGCATGCACCACCATAAACAGCCTTTTCTGTTTGTTTGTTTGAACCAGTCCCCTTTAATCTTTAAACTAAGTGATCTATGATCTAAAACTAACCACAAAACCCCTTTCTTAAGAATACTGCAAGATGGGCCAGGGATTAAGCTCAGTGGTGCTGCGCTTGCCTTGCAAGAGCAAGGTCCTTAGTTCGATCCCTGGTGCAAAAAAAAAGGTCTTCACTGGCTAGAATTCCTGAAGCTCCATTTGTATTCCTTGTTAGCACTCAAGGCCTCTGTGATCTAGTTGGGATGATCTCCAAAGACTCATCATTTTCACTCTAACCCTGCTACAGCACACAAACTGCTTATCATTCCCAGAATATGCCAAGGAATTTCATGTCTCCATGGTTTGTTCCACACTGCTAGCTCTTCTGGCTTGTCTCTTCCTAAACTCCACCTGGTAAGCTGATATTCATCTGTCAATCATAACTAGAAAACTAACATCTACTGTGAAGTCTTTCTTCTTCCCACCTCTAACCACAGCCCCTGTCTGTATCCCATACAGCTAACAATCCCAGTAACTCTTAGAAAACCCTGGAGAAGCCTTGGATGGGTTGTCTGTCTCGTTAACAAACTACAAGCTCCTTCAGAGTGGGGATTTTGTCTTACTGATCTTTGTACTAAAAGTCCAACTTAGGTCATCGCACAAAATATTTTGTAAAAAATGGTCCATACATATTCTTCAGGCATCTATCTTCATTTCAAATGCTATAACTCAAAGGGTGAGAAAATATGAGACTTTTTAACTTTTTATGGAGTCTTCTGAGTTCCTATATTGTATGTATCTTGAGAAAAAGAAAGGAAGGGAAGGGGAGGGGAGGGGAAGGAGGGGGAGGGAGGAATTTTCCATAAATGATAAGTAAAACAGGTCGGTAGACAGCAATGTTGAAATAATAAAATTGTGAGAGAAAGGGATATTAACATTTAAAGAGACCTCAGAGATCAGACAGAATAAAATATTTTACGGAAGGCCTAGAGGAAGGCAAATTGCCCAAGATCACACAGCCCATAGTGGTGGCAAGAAATTTCACAGCTCATCTTCTAAAAGATGTGCCACATATAAATTCAATTTGAGACATCTAAAGAATCAAAGTGTGCAGAGATTTCACAAAAACATTGTCCCGAGTAGCCCAGGTGAGGATGGTATGAGTGGCAAGTTCCTCCCATGGTCCCTTCCTGTCTATGACAAAAAGGACCTAGTCAGGTTACACTGCTGGGACCCTCACAGGTGCCCAGAAGTCCCTGTGGTGCCTTGGGCCTGGAGTGCACACTGCCCTGAGAACTCAGCTCTGATCCCTCACTTGATGGCACAGTTGGCCCCTACCTTTCACCATCCAGGAAAATATTTGCCAAAATGAGTCCAGAGTTCAAGTCTGGGCTAAGGAATCAGACTGTATCTAAAGTCAACCAGGTCTTCAAACATGTCAGACTGCCGAGGGAGATGAAAAATCTGATCCTGGGGCAGACTGGTATTTTGGATTTTATAGGCATAATCCAGGGAATCCTTCACAAAGGCTGCCACAAAGCCAACAGAAAAGCCACATACAGGCCCTGGATTTTTTGTTGATTTGTTTGAATTTGCCAGCCAGGTTAACGTGAGAGATGCCTTTCAGTGCCATGATCCTTCATTGCTGCCCTAGGGAAATGGTTCATGTGTGTCTCCAACCCATGATTTTGCACCATCAGACATGTTCCTGCATGCTTTAGGAACTGCTGCTGAGCCACCTGGGGGGAGCCCAAGCCTAGGGGATGGGATTTAGGGAGGAAAGGAGGGGGATCTACAGCTGTTACAAGATAAACACATTCATAGGCCATAATACAATGAGGAAAATAGCTCTCCTACCATAAGCTGAATGCAGGAACTGAAATTCTGTTGGATAGAAACGTTAGTTGAAATTACCACTAAGAATCTGTGCAAAGTTGTACACATTACAGTTACACAAACAGACTTTGTTTTGAGATAGCAGGTTTTCCCCAGGCTGCCTAAGAAAGGGTGAATGTAGAGGGTATGACGAGCCTCTGCTCTGGAGAGGGTGACAGACTTGCCATCTAGGAAAAGTTGGTCCACTGTAGAGGGGCACCTCCCTAGATGCCATAATGGCATCTTCCAGGCAGCTGACCTAGAAGCTACCTAATGTGAGCAAGTCCCAGATCCTGCTGTGTACTTATCCACAATAAGAACACACTTCAATGCTCCAGAGAACTGCAGGGGTACTTCACACATGACAGAGGCTTTATGTGTTAGAAGAAGGTTCAGAGACAATTCTGCCATCATGGTCTCTCAAAACTAGAGCTATACTCAATGCAGTCACTCCATCCCTGAAGAATCCAGGACAGTGTGATGCTTCAGAAGGAGCACAGGCTTGGGGTAAGATAAGTGGGTTTGAATCCCAGCTCTACTGCTTTTTTAGCTGTGTTAATTCAGACAATTTACTTTAAACTCTCTGAGCAAAATTAAAGCAAGCAGCTCTAACTCACAAGATTATGGTGAAGTGACCATTTGTAATATGCCTTGCACAGTGCCTGGATCAAGGCAGGTATTCAGAGAATGCATGTTCCACCTCCTATCCTTCCCCATGTTTCTTATATATAAAATTGTAATAATATGCCTGTACTTTACAGGATGTTATGAAATCAAGTGAGTCAATAAATGAAACTGCTTTGTAAACAGATTCTTGTGAGGAGGTATTTCATCTTATATTATTTATCTTGGTTATCCTTCCTTTCATTTTCAAGTCAGATTGTCATTAATATGACAAATGCTTTGTTCTCCAGGCTGTGAAAACCAAATCTTGGCTGGCTCTTGCTTCCTGAGGGGCCAAACAGATCTTTAAAAAGGTCCTCCAAGTCATTAGGAGCTTGAAAAGTCTAAAGTACCCACAGTGTTTTCAGGACCAATGAAAAACTGAAAGGTTTCCCTGCATCATGGACAGATGACATCTTAGGCTACTTGGAAGTGTTAAAAATAGCTCTCTCTGAAGCAACATCTGGGTCTCCTTGAAACAAATGAAAAGAAATTTAAATTTGAACGCCTGGCTCTATGCAAGCACCCAGTACCGTGCTTTGGGAACCTCTCTGCAAACAGCTGGCCTGGCATGAAGTGGAGAGTAATCTATGGTGTCCTCTTAAACCTTGAGTCAGCTCCTTCATGGCAGAAATTTCCCCACTGCAATCAGGAGGCTTGTGAATGCATGCCAACTACATTCTATGGAACAAACCCAGAAGGGAAAGACAGCGAGAGTGCAAGAAAGAGCACGCACGCACGCACGCATAACTCAAAAGGGAAAGGGAAGGCCAGGGATTTAGTTCAGCAGTTCTGCCTGCCTCGAAAGCACAAAGACCCGAGCTCCATCAAAAGGGCGGGGGGATTTCCTTAATGTCACACCAAACTCAGAAGCAGTTAGTGTGACAGACAGCATGGTCCTCCAATTCCCACTCTGGGGCTTTCCAACCCAGTGCACTAGCACTACACTCTTTGTGGATTGTGGATTTTGTGGGTTTCTGAGGGAATGATTCCTTTAGGGCTTAAAAAAATTAAAACAATACCTTATACATGCCAGCAGCTTTCCAGTCCCATCCCACCCCCCACCCTGTCTCAGCCTCCTCCTTTCTGTACTACCTATCCTCGCCAGCCTGGTTACTCTAGACTAACACCTCAATTTCTTTCTGCCTACTGCTTCAAAGACAATGTAGTGGTCAAGAGTTCGCTTATATGGGTGTTATAGGAGGATGCTGGGGTCTGGAGCTATGAGGTAGTTACCTGACTTCACTTAAGTTTTCGTTTTCCCATTTGGAAGATGGGAATAACAACAGTACTGACCTCAAAGGTTTGTTTTTACAGAAAGCAGGTTATCATCTATAAAGAACTTAAAATAGTCTAACAGAGGAATCCAATAAATAGTGCAGCTGTTTATTTCTTATCCTTCCTCTTGCCAAACTAACTCTAAAACAAGCCTACAATTTCTCAGAAGAAGTGGTGGACACTATGAGAAATTAGCCTAGTGCTGGGGATTCAAGCCTAGATGAATTCATGGCCTCAGCCAGCCTCCAGGATTGGCCTGCTCTGCCTCACTGCTTCGTGGGAGGCTCTTGCACCTGGACCTTGGTCTTTTGGTGCCCTCTCTTTATTTCTGCTCATTTCTGTGGCAGCAAATCAAGGTCATTTATCCTAAGCATATCCTCCTGTGACCTTACCACTAGTCTGAGTGGAAGAGCTACACTCTCATGTCAGGTACCCCTCCTCTCCCTGCCACCTAACTCCTCAAAATAAAGAAGAGAACTGAGCTCTGGACTTCGGCCCCCACACAGCCTCCAAGGAGTGCCAGCTCTGTCTGTCATCACTCCCGTGTCTGACTCATGCCCTCCACTCGCCCCTTCCCATCAGTGCTTGTTTAATCACACTCCTTCCTGAAAAACCCTCCTTCAACTCCACGTTCCCTTCTAGTCAATGCCCTTTTGTTTTGCTTTTTCTGGTAGCCAAGCTTCTTACAAACACAGCCCAAACCTACTAAATCTACTTCCCTTCCCAGTTCACTGTGCTCTGTTGTCCAGCCTTCCCACCTTCCTCACTGCAGCCAGTGAAGTCACTGGGGCCTCCTGACTATGAAGACAATGAATGTTTCTCACTCTCAATCCTACTGGACCTTCTGCATCTCACCTCATTTTTCAGACTAGTTTATAAAGCCAGCTTAAGGCACTAAGATTTAACTCACTTAAATATCATGACAGATTTGATAACTGGAACAACCACAAGTTTTCAGATAGAACTAACCAAATTTTATTCAGTATTTGATCAGAGATAATTTCTGAAGCTTTTATTGTTGCTTTTGCCTATTCTTAATTTTTGGGGAAATACTACATTTTAGTAATTAAAAATAAATATAGGATGTGGCTATAGCTCTGTGGTAGAGTGCTTGCCAAGCATATACAAAGTTCTAGGTTAAATCCCCAGCACAAAATAATAATAAATACCATTCTTTTTTTAGACCAGGTGTGGTGGTGCACATCTGTAATCCTAGCACCCGGGAAGCTGAGGCAGGAAGATTGCTGTGAGTTCAAGGCCAGCCTGGACTACATAGCAAGATTCTGTCTCAGAAAACAAAAACAACTATTCCTTTTTTAAAAAAAGTAAATATAGAAGGCAAGCATGGTGATGCACGCCTATACCCCAGCACTTAGGAGGCTGAGGCCAGCTTGGACTACAGTGAGTTCAAGGACAGGCTGAACTACATAGTGAGACCCTATCTTAAAAAAAAAAAAGTAAATATAAAATTGGTGCTGAGGTATCATTATATGATAGATTCTTAGCCTGTGTGTCACTGCTTCTTTACAAGCTCTTACAGTGAAGGCAACTTCCTAAAGTTTGAGTCACCTACAATGTCTCCCAGAATACCTCAGGCATAACAGGGCCAAAATAAATGCCTGTGTAACGACGTGACTATGTAAGAACTTTAGGAGTTGTTATAATCTATTTGCATAAAATAGTTCTTGTTTGAAAAAAAAGGGAGCTGTCTGATAAATTCATGGAGAGAGAGAGAAACAAGAGTATGATTCTAGGTCTGAAATCTAGGTCTTTAGACCCAGCCCATGTTCTTTTCTACTTTAAACATCCTTTAAAAAAGGGAATGGAAAGTAGAATGATTTAGCACAGAAAAGCATGGGACTGAGAAACAGGATATCTGCTGAGTTCTGCTCCCTAAGCTCTTGGAGATTCACTGGACAACATGGGACAAAACACTTCTGTCTGGATTTCTGCCGTCAAGTGAAAAGGTTAAACTGGAGAATCTCTGAAGCTTTTTAAGCTTTCTAGTTTTATAAGAATAACTATAAAGAAAGTTACAAGAAAATGGGATGTGTTAGGACATTCAAGGCCTTTCAAATCTGACCCTTGCATATTTGTAGCTCAGATTCATCTAGCTCCCCTCACAGCCTCAATCACTGCTACTACTTCTAGGTTCCTAACATTTCCCATATCTCCATGCATTTGCCACGCTGTGCTCTGTCCAGAATGCCCACTCCTTTTGTGCTTAAGAGAATATCTCTTCTCCTCCCTCAAGTTTCTTTTGCAAACTTCTCTGTGAAGATTCCCCTATATAGTACTCTCATCCCCAGGCAGACTGTGGGTCCCTCCTCTCTTCTAACATGTATTCTTTTCTTTTTGCAGTACTGGGGATTGTACTTGGGTCCTTGCACTTATGAGGCAGGCGGCAGAACCACTGAGCTAAATCCCCAGCCCTATCTAACATGTATTCTTATATTGGACTGCAATGAATTTATTTGTATGCTAGGCTCCAAAGTGGATTGTGGACTACTTCAGGCAAAGACGGCATCTGTTAATCTTTTTTATCCCAGTATGGAGGACATCCAACAAATAAACACAGTACATATTTGTTGAGTAAATGAAGAGGGGCTTATCTAAAACCACCTACAACCCTGAAGCAGGTGGTTATACTGCATTTGAATCTCAGGGGCGGTGACCTGCTCACGGCTTTACAACCAGTGAGCTGTGCAATCAGGATTCAAACCCAGGACTTTCTAATGGCAGAGCCCATACTTCCCCTGCTCTTGAATGTGAAAGCACCTGCTGAGCAGAGAGCTTAGGATCTGCTTTCCGGTATTCTCAAGCCTACTTCAACTTCTATCCAAGAAATAATGAGCTTTCATTATTTTTGAAAATATGTAGCTTGTCTCAGTTTGAAAGCAGCTCTTTAGTCCATAGTGGCAAGTCTCTCACTCTCTTCCAAATTTATACCTCAGGAGTCTGCTGTGCATGTGCTTGCATGTTTCCCACAGGCAGCCTCAGGGGAAACTGAGCAAAGAATAGATTTGAACACTGCTATGAAAAGCATAAAATGTTCTGTGAGGTGGATGCATGTCTAATATATGCCAGAATAGAAGAGACTGGCCAACCTTAAATCCCAAGGAAAACGAAGGTTCTACTTCCACCCCCACCCCAGATCTGCCCTAGTACCCAGAGGGTACTCCTAGGAAAATCAAGATTGGACAGGTTGAGCCCAGAGCAATTAAAGATAGGAAAAGGCCAACAGGTGGGTTTGTTTTTCCAATAGAGTTCTACCTCCCCTGTTATTTACCACTGCTTACCACACTCTGCTTACCTGGAGCATAACTGGGATTATTGGTTGGGTACAGGCTGGGATTGTAGGCAGGGGCTGCTGCCGGGTAAGCTGTAGGGTAACCTATAAAGAGATAAGAAAAGCCTTACTTATGCAGAAACAAAACAAAATGCAAACAAAAGTTAGATTTCTAAACAAAGAGGATACAAGTGAAAGGCTTCACTTTCAGTCTCTTGATGGGCTATTTCAGATTGTACATCTTCTTTCTTTCTTTCTTTTTTTTTTTTTTTTTTTTTTTTTTTTTTTTTTTTTTTTTTTTTTTTTTTTTTTTTTTTTTTTTTTTTTTTTTTTTTTTTTTTTTTTTTTTTTTTTTTTGGAGTGGGGCACTTGTGAGGCAGGTGCGGTGCCACTGAGATAAATCCCTGGCCCTATTTCAGATTATGTATGTGACCAGTTTCAGATTCTCAAGAAAAAAGTAACCCATACCACAGCTCCAATATATGCAAATTTTCTGGTCCATTTACAACATATGAAGTATTTCTATACTCTCATTGTTAAAAAAAGAAAAAAGGAAACATGGGAATGCATACAGCTCTTAAGTTTATTTTCATGTTCCTGCTATACTACTACTCTCTTCTTCAGAGGTAACTACATTAATAGTTTGGCATCTATTTTTCCAGATTCACTAGACTGTACAATTTTTTTGTTTTTGTTTTTTTGAGACAAGGTCTTGCTGTGTAATCCACATTAGCCCCAAACTCCCAATCTTCTTACCTGAGCCTCCTGAGTGTTGGGATTATAGATATGCACCAACATCAATGAATGAGTAGTTGGGAAGAGATGATCAGAGTCCCCAAGAGCATGCACAAGCTGATTTCAGTTCACCATAGTGTAGCATATATAGGTTTTAAAAAATAATTTTCTAAAAAAACCTGATTTTCTGTTGTAGTGCAATAAATATCAAAATTTCCATTTGAACCATTTAAGTGTACCACTAAGTAGAACTGACTACTACAACCTTTTCATCATCCCAAACAGAAACTCTGTAATCAATAGTAATTTTCCACCCTCCAACCCCAACTCTGTAATCTCTAATCTACTTTCAGTCTATAATTTTGCCTACTTTAGGTACTGATAAAAGTGAATCATAGCCTACTTGTCCGTTTGTGTCTGAAGTCTTTCACTGAGCATTGTATTTAAGGTTCAATCATGTTATAAAATACATCAGAACTTATTTCCTTTTATGGCTGAATTATATTCTATTTTACATATATACTTAATCTTGCTTATCTATTCATCTGTTGAGGGATACCTGGGTTGTTTCCACCTTTTGACTACTGTGAACAATGCTGCAAAGAACACTGGTATACAAATACCTGAGTCTTTGTTTTCAATTCTTCTGGAATCTCTCACTTTGCTGCCCAGCCCAACTCATGATCCTCCCAAGTACATGGGGTTTACAGGTGTGAACCACTGAATTGAGGAAACTACCAAATTGTTTTTCACAATGGCTGCACATGAGGATTCAAATTTCTCCACATCTTCACTAATACTTGCTTTTTTTTTTTTTTTTTTAATTATAGCTTTCAGCTGGGCATGGTGGCACATGCCTGTAAATCCAGTATTCTGGGAGCTGAGGCAGGAGGAATGCTGAGTTTGAATCCAGTCTTGGCAATTTAGTGACTCAGTGAAACTCTGACAGAAAATAAAATAGGACTGGGGATGTAACTCAGTGCAGAGGCCCCTGGTTCAATCCTTAGTACCACCAAAACAAAACGCCAAACCACAGTTAGTGTAATGTGGTATCTCATCACTGTTTTTGAAGAGTGTTTTTGGTTTTCTTGTTTGTTTTGTTTTGTACCAGGGATTGAACTTGTACCTTGTGAGGCAGGTGGCAGAACCACTGAGCTAAATCCCCGGCCTCTCATTACTGTTGTGATTTACACTTCCCTAATGACCAATGTTCAAAAGATGTTGAGCATCTTTTTATGTGCTGCTTGGATAGGTATATATCTTCTTTGAAGGACTGTCAATTTAAATCATGTACCCATTTTAAAAACTGGGTTGTCTTTTTGCTGTTATGTTGTAGGAATTCTTTTTATGTCCTGAATATGGAGCCATTATCAGACATAGGATCAGATATATTTTCCCCATTCCATGGAATGTCTTTTCACTTTCTCAATGCCTTTTTTTTGGCCAGGGTGTGTGCTGGGGGCGGTTATGGGGCTCGAACTCAGGACCTTGTGCTTTCAAGGCAGGCATGGTGCCAGTGAGCTAAATTCTCCACCCTCAATAATACCTTTGATGCAAATTTTTAAAACTTTAAGTCCAATTTATCTATTTTCTTCTTTTGTTGCTTGTTGCTTGTTATTTGTTTGTTTTGTTTTGTTTTGTTTTTGGTACCAGGGATTAAACTCTGGTCCTTGTGCTTGCGAGGCAGGCAACAGAACCACTGAGCTAAATCCCCAGCCCTGTTGCTTGTATTTTTGGTGTCATATTTAAAAATCTGTCAAACTGAAGGGCATGAAGATTTACCTTTATGTTTTCTTCTAAGAGTTTTATGGTTTTTATGCATATTTAAATCACTGAAAGAAATATTTTTGGAGGGGTGGTATTGGGAACTGAACCTAGGGGACTTACAAATGCTCAGTAAGCACTCTACCACTGAATCACACCCAAGCCCTTTTTAAATTTTGAGGCAGGGTCTCACAATTCCAAGGCTGGTCTTGAACCTGTGATTCTCCTGCCTCAGCTGCCCAAGTAGGTAGAATTACAGATGTATCATCACACGGGGCCACTGATCCACTTTGAATTAATGTTTGTATATGGTGTGAAGTAGGGGTATATAAAGTTTTATATGCTACCTTTTCACTTAAACATCATGAGCATTTCCCCATACAATTATATATTCTTCGAAAACATCATTTGTAATATCTTTATGATATTCCATTATGTAGTAATCAAATCATTTAAACATTATCCCTACTATTATGATGCTTAAGCAGGAAGGAGAATGAATAGTAAATATAAACAAAATATTAAAAACCATGAAAAAGGGCAGGTTAAAGGACATCAGAAGTGCCTATGTTGAGGTTGAAAGTACTGCAATATTACAAAGAATAATCAGGGTAAGAGACACTGAAAAGGTAAGATTTCTGCAATGATGTGAAGGAAATAAGGTTAAACAAACAGCTGAAGAAACAGCACTTGTGGCAAAGAAAATAGTACAAAGGCTCTAAACTGAGACCACAGGGAACATGTCAGAAGAACTGCAGAGGCTAGTGTGATGGAGTGGAACAAAAGAGAGGTACAGTAGTAGTAGAGGAAGCCAGAAAGATAAAGGTTGTTCAGTACGTAAGACCATACAAGGCCACTGTCAGGACTTCAAACTTTTATTCTGAGTGAAATGAGAAGCCATCACAGGGTGTGAGCAGAAGAATACCACCACCTGACTTATGTTTGAAAACGGTCACTCTGAGGGCTGTGTTGAAAAAAGACTATCTAGGGGAAAGGATAGAGAGAAACAAAGATCAACTAAAAGACTACAAATTGTTCATATATACTTTGTCACATTGCTTTCTAGAAAGCTATCTAAACATCCACTAGCAGCATATAAGTGCTTGTCTCACTATTCCTTGTAGTTTTTAAATGCTCATTTGTATTTGACTGGCAATGAAAAGCCGGTTTTAAAAGTCAAAGATTAAATCTCTAAATCCCTAAAAGCTTCTTGGGGATTTGTAAATATTGGAGCTTTAATAATGTATCTTTGTTAATATGCTATTCCCTAAATCCTTTCCAACTACAAAGAAAATTCAACCACCTCTCCAGTCATTTTCTGATTTTAAAATTGAGGTAGCCAACTTGTCACTTAATTAGCAATCTAGAGGTGTGCCACTTCTCCAGAAATAAGTCGGGGGGTGTCTAATCTGGAAAGCTAAGTGATCCAGTCTCATGGCTGAAATCTGTATTGGGCTTCATGTGAGAGATTAGGCGGTCACACAGGTAATCACTGTCCTGTCATTTTAAATGCCTTTTACTTTAGGAGCAATTAAAGAATCTTTGTTCAGTGTTTCCAAGCACATATATTCCTTCTTTAATGACGGGGTTCCTGCCTGTTCCCCCAACTAGGTCGTTAATTGAATTGGTCACTAAATGAAGAATTACATATAGTATGTACGTTACAATATCCAGAACAAAGAAATGGTCAAAGGAAACTCCAACTTCATACTTTGCTTTTATTTGCACAGCTCTTACATGCAGTACTGTAATGCATAACCAACAAAAAACTACAGTATTGTACAGTACAACCAGCAAAAATTACAGTATTGTAACAAGGTATATTGTAAAAAAAAAAACACTGAGATAAACAACACGTACAGAACTATACATCTGGGCATGGTGGTGCATGCCTGTAATTCTAGCACTTGGGAGACTGAGGCAAGAAAATCACCACAAGTTTCAGGCCAGCCTGGACTACATATTGAGTTCAAGGCCAGCCTGAACTACACAGTGAGATCCTGTCTCAACAAAACAAAACCCCCAGGAGTCGCTAAGTTTGAGTGATGGATTTTAAATCCAAACAGTCATTAACTGGGTAGGTCATTAAAAGAGGAATATCTGTAGTTTTATTGCTGTTGTCATGGTGATGGTACTGGAGATTGAATCCCAGAGACTTCTCCGTGAGGTATATGACTTACACACCCAGTTCTTCCTTTTCATCCTCACTTTTACTTTTGAGACAAGGTCTTGCTAAGGCACCAACTTGCCCAGGCTCAAATCATACTGCTTTAGCCTCTCCAGAATGCTGATACATGCACCATCACTCCTAACTCAAAATTATTTTTAATTCACTTGAATCTGGCATATATTATAGAATGGCAGCACTAGAGGAAGCTTTATTTGAATGACTGTTTTTCATTTTATAGGTGACATGTGTAGACCTATAAAAAGGGAAAGGGCTTAAAGTCCAGACTGTTGGGGTTAGAAAGCATCTTGAAGTCCAGTTAGTCAAACCTCACATTTGGGGTTACAGCCTCTATATTACAACACTCTTATGAATTCATCTCAGCCCTTAAGTCTCTACTGATATCATATGCCTTTCTTTCCTGAGAGTTCCCTACTCC